AAAAAAAAAAAAAAAAAAAGAATTGTTGCAACTTTACAGTCGTTCGGCAAAAAAAAAAAATTGATGTATACCAATGGTTTATGTGGTTGTCAGTTTTTCCAAAAAAAATTAATAAACAGAATTACGAAAAGCTAAGCAATAAAAAAAAAAAGAGAATCTTCTTTATTTCTCCACTTTTTTTTTCCTTCTCTCTTTTCTAACAAAAAAAAAAAATTTATTGTTGTTAATTACAGTTAATGTTACAATACTAATAATAATAGCAGTAATAAAAGCAATAATAATAGTTATAATTATAATATCAAAAATGACAGAAACCGATATTAAACTTTATCTACTAAATTTTATTTTAATAACATCAAATAATGCTGTTATTGATGTTATTATTATTATTATCATTTTTGCACTAAATATTTCTTGTTCTAATACCCATAAAACTGTCATCAAAAAATTGCAACTATCTTTTTTGCAGTCTAATAATCTCTGATGATATATTGAAATATCGTTTTGACCACCAACTATTTAGTTGCTTAATTTTCACTGCACATTCTGACAGCAGCCTTAGTCTGAAGTTAAACACTGATGACGGCTGTTGGATAGTTCAGTTGCTGCAGACTGTTTATAAAGAAGACTAAAAACTGTTGAATATTAAGACTAGGTTAGCAAATATAGTGCAGGCTAAGCCTGCCAAAAGCTGTCGATCTGTCTTTTAGGAGCTTCAAATTGAAAACTGTATGTACTGTCAGCAGAATCGACTGATACTATAAATCTTATCTCCCACATTTGGTTACATTTTTTCCTATCTCTTTCTCCTTCGCTTTTTTTTTTTTCAAGACTAAAAAACTTCTTTATCGCCTCAATTCTTTTTCCTTTATTACTACTTAAATTATTATCATTTTTTATTATTTTTATTATTTTATATTATTACTGTTGATAGTGTTATCAAAGTTATAGTGCAAATACTATTATCAGTGTTGGTATTTAATACTGTAAACCGTTGGATGTTCTCTCTTTTTTTTCAAATTCTTATCGCTTTTATTGAACGCACACTGTGATACAGAAAAGCAGATACTTCTTTGATGATTTTTTTGGTGTTTTTTTTCTTTATGCAAAATCACTTTTTGTACTGATCAGATAAATTTTTAGGCATTTCAGTGGAAAGCAAAAAAG